GAAAGAGAAAGAAGGACGGTCGGAAGGGTAGTGTTTGAATCGTGTAGTATAGTTCTTGTTATAAAGCCATTTATTTGGTGAGGTTGTGATTCATTCATTATATCATGAGAAACAGAAACACATTGGTGAAAACAATTGATTTGTTTCTTATCAATTCCTAGTTTGGGGCTCAAATGTTCTTGAAATGTGTTTGTAATTCGGCAATATGAATATATTTGAAATTTGGTTTTCGTTTAACTATAAGGCAAATTAAATCAAACTTCGTACGATGATAAAATCTGAAAGCGTGCAGGACAAAATGGCCAGTAGGCCGGAAGTGACGGAATGCCAACGACCCCTGCTAGACCCCTGCATATGTACGATGTGTTGTATATCGGTGCTTTCTGAAATGTCTCACAGTAATGAAACGTCAATTTACCAGATATATTATATATTTCCGATTGTGTATTCAAACTATTAGTATGAGAATCATTTTTCAGCACATCCTATAAATACATCACATTTTCTACCAAATTACAATCAACACAGAAAAATATGACATTGTTAAAAATTATGTTTGTAAACGATAATTGTAAAATTTTCAAAATTAGTTCACATTCATTGTCTCTATATTATGGATGACATTCATTCATTTCTGCCTAGTATGTCAGTCGGACAGTTATATTTTAGATAATGCTGTATTATAAAAGACGGATTTAAAAATTTGTAAGCCATGACCCCATCCACTACTTATGCTTAATTGAATCACTTAACCTCAAACAAATATAATCAGTGCAATTCTTATTTTGTTTTCTTGCAGCGGGGGTATGCCCAATGCCTCATAAAAACAGTAAACGTCTCAGAACCTACTTTTTCATAAGTGTTCTGGACAAAACGGCAGTCTACACAGTCTAACAATGTTTCACCTAAACTATCCAAAAATAATAATTCATTAAAAGAAACATTTTGATGGCGGCACCATATTTCTAAACTATGAGAAATCTTGAAATATAACTCATTAGTTTGTGACTTTTTCAAAATATGTTTGCTCTTCTCTATTGTTAGGAGGCAATCGCGGCATTCACATAGGTGTTCAGTACCGATGGCCTTGTGAGAAGCAGCAGCTTTGCGTACAGACGGGGGTTTGCTACACCGACCATCGCCAGCAGATGTTGTTTGTTGATACATAACACATGAGGTCTCTGATGGTACCAGTTTATGTTCTAAGACAGTAATGATAAATGTTGAAAGTTACTAAGGCTACAAATATGCATTAATCTCAAAATTATATTTTGGGCATATTTCTTTGTATTTAGCTAACAACAGGTGTTAAAAATTGTTCTGTAATTAAGACATTCTCTAAACGTTACTAAGCATAGTTAGGTCAGTGCAATGTATTTCTTAATAAATACATGATAACCAGTATCTGAACGACTGAAAGTAATGAAAAAACTGTTTTTTTTCTAGTAGTCGGGGTAGTAAAAAAGCACAATAGCGATTCTGGCCATCAGGTAAGCACTTATATATAGACATAGGTATTGCTTATGCACTACCATACTAATCTCACGTATAAGCTTTCAGATGATATATAGGTTAATTATCACTTGTTGCAAATGTAAAACTTACAGGAAGGCAATAACATTATTATTATATGAGCAGTAATCATCATCTGAGGATAGATGTGAAAACAACATATTCAATTTAACTGAAATACCGCTTAATATATTCATTTAATTACCTTACCAGAACAATAGGGGGATAACGAATTGGGTAACTCTGAACATTCTATTGGATAGACACTCTTCTGATCATGATCCACTACCCCTTGCTGCTCTGTTTAACAAAAGACACAACACTGAATGTAGTGCGCGGCACGTGTACATTTATTCAAACAACGGGACGTTGATTTAGGTTATCATCTCATGGGAATGGAACACAGCAAAATATTGTTTTTTCACAGACAAAATATTGACCCTGCTATGATTTTTGACATGTCCCTTGAATCACAATTACAATACACATAAATGATTCAAAAGTTATTGTCCTCGGTTATAACTATGAATTCCGAGATTTATATTACATGGAATCAGTTGAGCTGTGTCAATCACAAGTCGGCCAAAACTGTTTGCGACTGGAGTGTAGTACCCCTGCGATTGTGTTGTTTTCCGCCAGCAGCTACGACAATACTTATTAACAAATCTTCAACATTCTTTGAAATCATAATTAGTTTGTTGTGAATAACGTAAAAAATATTTGTAGTTAACTAACCTTTTTCTGCGTCTTGATTATTGTAGTGTCGATGTGTATTATCTTCCTCTTCCTCCAAATTATTCTAAAATTACGAGCATAGCATAAGTATAAGGAAGATATAAGTGTGTTTGTAATGTTGAATATCTGCTGCCCCAATTGTACTTGTGTTCACACATTCAGACTGTCCGTGTCGTAAGCATGCGTTCAAATCAAAATGATAACAATAACTATATGTGTGGGCCACAATATGTGAGTCACAATATATTTTAGTAATATAATTATTTATGTGCAGCCTCGAAAATTATGGAGAGTATTTATTTCACAAATTTAGTGTTGTTATTTTTATTTTTATTTCGTATTTTCTATTTTAATCTCGGTGTAAATTTCGAGGCTCGAAGTTTAACGAACCTACAATCATGAAAGAAATATATAAAACATATACATTTTAGGAAAGTATGTAATTGTCTTGACAAATCGAGAACAACAAAAATTGTTTGTCTGAACTCAGCTTCTGTCCCCGGTCTTTGCATTGCATCAGCCTCACGTAGAAGGACGTTGAAATTGACAGTGAGAGGGAAGCATGCTGTTAAACATATTAGACAATTTTTGATTCTTACAGTGAATACCGTGTTTACAATTTGGATGTATGAATTCAAACGCTTACGCTAAAACCGGGACTAAATATGGATTGTTACAAAATGGGGTCACCGTACCATTAATGGATAGAACTGTAGTATGAGATAACAGAACTTATTGTTTTATGAGGGGCGAGATTGAAATGTGGTGGTCATTGCGTTTTTATTAAGGTATAGTGATTGATATTACGATTATCAATATTGAAACTATAACGATTTATATGTTTCAAGGATTTATAAGAATTCGACAAAGATCTCATTCAGCATTTCATTTCCGCGAGTTTCATATGCGCGTCAATAAAACTTATTCTGGCCAATCACATGACGTAATAGCTGGTTGAAAAAGTTCGATTGTGCAAATATATACGAGTACGAATATTACCATGTTCGAAATACCTTAGTGTGCACAAAATGTTATCAATAAATTATATCTTGTATTTAATATAGACTTTTGCATTTGTGCAAATGAGTCTGAATTAAAGTATTGAAAAGAATTAATACTCACCGGAGTGCGAGCTCTCTTTGACATCGTCGCACTCAACACACATGGAAGTGAAAATAAAAGGTTGTCGAGCTCATTGTAGCCGGTTCTATGAAATGCTGATAATGATAATTACTTAGAACTAAAACTACTCAATCAGTACCCCGAGGTATTCGGTCCGCACCACGCAAATATTCTTTGACCCCGTGTTGTTTTAATCCAAAGTTACCATTCTTTCTCACGTGAGCAGTATTGATATTGTTTTCGGCAAGGAACCAATGATAAACGTGGAGCGAGCTCATGTCTATTATGGCAACATTCAACACCCTAGTGTGGTCAGTCAAAATTGATCGCATATTTAACATACTAATTCAAATTTCTTCAGTACTAACAAATCTTAGAATATGTAACATTTAATTGTTTATATCTTTTTTTGAGCCGATAATTCTTCAAATCGAATTATATAACGTTTGACAGTAATTCCCATGTAAATAATCGTCTATTCGACAACAATAACGAGTACCTGTTGTCTACTGAGTACTGCAGTACGCCCATTGTTCTGTCCGTTTATGCCACAGATCTGGTTCTCGTAATTTCACATTTGTGCACTTTTCGAGTTTTACTGTATTTGTACTTATAATAAGCAGCTTCTACGCGGCTAATAGCGGCGATAATGTGTGGAATTGCTCAAGCTTAAGCTAAGGCACGAATAACTTATAGGTATGTGTGTTATTTTTGAAATTCCCAGGATGACAATTCCATGTGATAAAGCAATGAAACTTTTTCGAAATCCCCATACATACTTTAACTCGTTTACAGATCATACATAGTCCTTGGAAAGCCGGTCGCATTTACAGTAAATCTGAGCCTCTACTTACAGAATTTGTATGAGCCATGGATAAAATTTATTGAGAATTTGGTAACCATGAGAACATAAGAGACACACAACAACGAGTCGTAGAGTTGACTATGATTGGTGTATGTCAGCTGAACTAAAAACAAATATTACGGAATCATTTAGTTACATTCACAAGCCAGGTTTTTGTTTGCTTTAAAAAAGATAATAATGCTTATACCATCAGTCACCAGGTTTCATAAATGTGATTTAACACATGAATATATTTCTTCAAACGTAGATGAACCATTACAACTAATTAAGACATGCAAATTTGCCGCTGAAATGGATGTTAGAAAAATTGCTTTCCAATTATGTTTGTATAATGAGTCTCTAGAATGACATAGACAATAGGTATATTTGGAATGTTGTTTATTGTATCGTATCAGCTGCTCTTGAAGTGTTCTTTGATTGTGAAAAATAACAAGAATTTTAATATATGCATTTACATAGCAATGGGTCTTACATTATTTTCACAAATTTATATTATTGAGATAGAAATATTCTTCTAATAAGTGTATTAATACATTTTATAGTGTCGTGCTCATAGCGGACTTGATAATTGTGGAAATTCAACAAATCTGTCGTGCTTAGAACCAATAGTGTTCTGTTATGTGTTATCTAGTTTGCATAATGTTTGTCAGCGTTTGGTTGGATTCTCGTTCAAATTTGTTTCACTAGCGCCAAACCATGCACAAATTGTTGATATATTAAACTGCAAATGTTATTTATTGCAGAAATACCGTGGTGGCTTGGACAGTTAATTTTTGGCATTGTGCTCTACATAAATAGTTAGTCTACTCCCCTCTTCATATCCAAGAACTTTCTGAACATGATGACAGTCAAAACAGGAACATGCTTCGAGTTTGGTCTCAGGATATCCTTTGAATGCAGTCTTCATCTCAGGTTTGCTGTGTCGCAACCAAATCTGTAAACACCGTGACAGTTTAAAAAGCGACACTTCCAACCCATCCGTTTCACATATACGATTACTTGTTTCCTGTATGGCTCTACAGTCGACGCATTTGCATTCATTCTGTTTTTTCAAATGTTGGTATGTATTCCTGGACCAGTTACTGTGAAGACTTTTCCCATTATTAGTCGGCGAATGGATCTAACAAACAAATTCACATTGGTAAATGATTGGCTAAAGTGATAAATTAATAATTTGCCATTTTTTTTAGTATACGTGAGATTGGGAGTAATTATTTTATCATAAACAAAAAAACTCAAATGCACCACGGCTGTTTGTTATCGCATTCGTTACTACTTTGTGCCTTTCCCCATGCCTCGTGCGTAATCGCGGGATGGGTGGACTACTGCCTTTGAATAAGTTCGGCCACAAGGTCACATGTATTGTAGGAATTTTCCTTTCCATTAGAATGACTGTATTTCTCTTTGAACTCTTGCTGTTTAAAGAGCGGTAGTCGTTGCGCCACGCATGCGCGAGATATATGGGTCTCATATAAACAAAGATGGCGCCTTTGACTGTTGCGCAGTTCAACAAGTACAAACTGAGATGTTACCAAGTTTTAATTAGGTTTTTAGGTGATTTGAAGGTATCGAAGGAGTCACCGGCGGTAATTAGTGCAAGTCGCGCCCAGGTCAAACCTCATACTTGTGATTTTCATTAGAAGAGCGCATTGAATTGTGGGAAAATCGAATACACTTGCTTAACTGCTTGCAGGCCTGTCTATGTCTTGACTACGGTAAAAGTAAAGTTATGCTACGTATTTTGTCGGGGGCTATGTCGTAAACGGCAAAACGGAAATAAAATCATATTTTTGTAGTTGCGAATACAACGAAAAAACAAACGGAAATGAAGTATTAAAAAAACGTTTGCTGTTGTGTAGTGGTATGACAACAGTGGAATAATAAAGTATCTCTTCTCGTTTTATGTAATCTCAAGTAGAGAATACATTGGTAAATCAGAGCAGTCAGGGCAAACAGAGGTCACATTGCGTTAGGTGCGATACACCGCTGTGCAAACACAGATAGCAAGACACTGTGTACAGAGTTTATAGTATACGAAAATGCACTTTGGCACACAAGAAGTGATAAACTGTGTATGCTGTGTATAAATTGTACTACTTATGTCTGATTACCATGCAAACGCACTGAAACGAGTTTCGAGTGTGCAACCTTTTGGCTACCGGCCCAAAAAAATGTGTTTTTGTAAATTCTGAAACCGCTGTCGGAACATTTTAAAGGACAAATACTAGTATAACACATCCGTTGAATGTGTGACGCTCTATGGTTCTATACTGAAAAAACGAATACACTGAATGAAGGACATTACTTACTTGCTCAGAAACGTCAATATTATATGAGTCATCTATTTCATTAGTGTTAAGCTTTCTCCTTTTGAACATTTTCAGCAGCGGTGATAGAACAATGTTATTTCGTGCGTTACAAAGTGAAGTATGTGGCAGGGAGTTGCCCGAGACATAAAAGAAATTGGGAAATACCCATGATGTAAACAGGGTTTGGGAATTTACCATGATGTCAACAGGGTTTGGGAATTCCCATGGTGTGATTAAAGGTCCCTCTAATTGGACCATGTAAATTGCCTGCATATAAATATTAGCCGGGGAAGTAGATACAGTGGCTCAATTAACATTTAAAACACTGCGATAAAGATTTTCCGTTTTCGATACAGTATTTTTACCAAGTAAAATCATATTTATTAAAGTAATTATAAAAAGTGTTATGAATTATTCTTAATATAAAATTCGAGTTATCAAATTTGATCGTTAAACAAAACAACAAACCTATGTTGCCCGTAACTCGAAGTTCGGTTAACTGTTTATTAAAGTTTGAGTTACTAAATGTGGACGTTCAACAAAAACAAAATTATATATTGTCCATACCTCGATTTCTGCTAAAAGTGATAATTGAATATCGAGTTACAATTTTGGCGTGGTTCCTCAAAAGTGGGAGTGGTTTCCGAAATGTGAACGTAGTCATTTGTGAAACTCGATTGTTTCGTAACTCGATGTATCGTAACTCGAATAATCCAGTATCTCCTTTGTCACAGTTTTTTACACCACTGTTGGTCACGTGACCCATTGTTCTAGTCGTTTATTCATTTAGAAGTTGTGAGCGTCTTTCGCAAGTTAGGATAAGACCATAGTATTCTTGCACCTGATCAGCTACCATGAACTGTAGAGCGAGCATTTCTTCTTTCAACTCATTCTAGTTTTTGCGATAGTTCGTAGCCCCAGAAAGTCTGAAGACTTATCTGATGACACGCTACCCATCCCTCACCTGATGCGTGATAGTGACTATAATGTTGGACAGAGAATCATGGTGGTCAGCAAAGGTCCACCAAACTACGCCCTATCAAGCACTGTCTGATAGTCTGACATGGTTGTTGAGAACGTTACGGTCTGCAATTGTAGGTGGAAAGATTAATATGCAGAACCTGGCAGTTTTAGAGTCTCCTCTTCACCTAAGCAATAATTGTTTAAAATGTGTAGAACCTAAATCAGTTCTAGGACCATGTCATTTCAGGTGCATTAAAGTCTCTAAAGGTAGCTGAACCAATCAGGCAGTGAAGCAGCATATTGTTACTCGTAGGGAACTTTCTGAAGATATTCCAATGCTAATTACAATGGGAACCTTTTATTATAACAGTGAACATCTGAGATCGCGTTTCAACAGTGCTTTAATGCCATCTTTTTCGGTGATGTTCCTACCTAAACTGATAACCTATTACGATTGTATAAACCCGTTTGTTTACCAACCAGAAAATCCGTGGAAAGCTAAATTTCATTTATTACTCATTTATTATCATTTATTACAGATTACGGCCCCTAACGGAAACAACTAGAGAATACACCCAAGTCCAAAAGAGACACCCTAGGGTAGCATTCTCTAAAAAAAAAAGGCCTCGCCTAAAGGGTCACGCTAGGGCGATCACGCACCTGAGGCCTGTCAGTTTCAATTCTCCATTACATTTTTTCCATTACCTACCAGAAAATCCGTGGAAATAATAAATTTAATAATAAAATGAGTAGCACGCTCACCTGAGTTGGGGAAGCTCCGACGGTTTTCTTTCGACACAAAAAGGCAAGAAAGTCAAAAAACTGATAGAAATCTAAAACTACTCACCAACAAGGAGTCTTGTCCTTGGATATCCCCAATTAGGTGACTCTTCAGGGACTGAGTGCCCAAGAGTAGACTCCCTCCTCCTCAATTTAGGGAGGCTTACTGAAGCCGGCCAAAAAGCCGAACAAAAAAATAGGGCCCAAACAATTTTAATGCTTTAAAACAGTGTATTTATTCGGTTCAAAAGCGCAGATCGAAGTCAGCAACGTCAATTAAATCGAGGCTGGTTTTCAACAGAAGAATGAAGCATTAAAGATTTCACGTGTGGGGCCCCTTGGTGGTGCGGGCTGGATCCACAAACACTGTCTAACCCGTCGTCACTGGTCACAACCTGTAGAGACCCTCCTCCAACGCTTAGAGGTCTCTCACATAATAGTTAATGAAGAACACTGCTCGGAGCACCTGTTCAAAAAGGCACCAGACATCAAAGCCAAATATTTAGCTATTCTGCACACTTCGAGGCAGGTTGGCTTTGCTTGCTCCGCCCATAACAGACAAATATGCACCTCTCGCTGCCCCGATATAATTTGGTGCAATCGCAGTACTATCTCAGAGCTCGGAAAGGACATAGAATCTGTTCCTGACAGTCTTCCTTGCCCACTATGTTAGCGAGGCGTGGGATGACAATCAGTTCAGGGTCATGCCCTGGGATTTGATTCTTGGCAAGAAAGCCCATCCAATAACTTTTGAGTTCATAAAAGTGGCACATCCATCACTATAGTGTCCCTCTGAACGCCGCCTACCTGACACCATAGCCAAAAGAAAAAAACTGTTTTCATAGTGACATACTTCATGACTCAAAAAGGGGGTGTCGTAATGTCGCTAGAACCAACAACAAATCCCAATCTGGAGGATTTGTTAGCCCCTTGGTGCGCAGCCTCTTCGAGCAGAAAGACTTAAAAAGTTGTTGCATAACTGAACTCGAGGCCAGTTTCAGTCCCACAGACTCTGATAAAACTGGGAACAAAACTGACCGATATCCAAGAATCGTTGATATAGATTTTCCTTGAGCAAATAAATACAAGAAAAAGTCGGCTACCTTGCTAATGGCACTGAGATGATCAATCTCCCTTCTGTTACACCAATCAATGTAAAGTCTCCATCGGAAAGTACAAACGTGCCATCCGACTGTGCCGAAGCGAGGAACTTGGACAACTCTGCAGAAAAGCCTTGCGCTTGCACAAGTTTATTGACAGCCTCCACGCTTGGAATAATGCGGGGCTCGTCAGTAGAGTGCTATCTGTCTTGGACAACAGATCTGGAAGATCCAGCAACACCACAGAGGACTCGACTAGAAGGTCCATCAACATTGGGAACCAGACCTTCATTGGTAAATTGGGCGCCACCAGTGTCAGAAGGCAGGTGGGCTTGAGTCACAGTTTCTCTAACACTTGGTGCACTATTTGGAAAGGTGGAAAGGCGTAAGCCATCCTGCATATATGGTCGGCCACGTCCCATGGACTTGAAAGTTGATCACATGGCCACCCCATCCTTGGATCGTCAAATCTGTAATGAGATTCAGCGAGGGAGTCATCAGATCTAGGGGTATTCCCCTTTCCAAGTTCCGGGCGTCCTTCCACCAAGGACGAGTCTGGAGAGCTGCTAACAAAACTAAACGTCACTGAAGTCATTTCACCAATTTTGACAACAGGAGTTGGCTGGCGATCTCTGTAAGGATGTTGCACAGTGTCTGAGAGTGGCGGTATTGAGTTGGACTTGGGAAAATTTATTAAAAAGCCTCGTGGAGGAGTGTTTGTGTCAATCACATGTGCTCCGCTAACACCTCCCTGTCTTGGTTGTGAAATAACCAGTCGTTGAGGTATGGGGTTCAGGTAAACAGATAACCGGTGTAGCACCTAGGTCACCAGTCTGTTGAAGACATACAGTGCCATGCACAAACTGAAAAGGAGAGTGGTAAACTCGTAAACTTTGCCCTCTAAGGAGAATGTGAGATATCGGCTGCAAGAGTGGTGAATGGGGATGTGGAAATATGCATTGCTCAAATCCAGCAACACCAGTAAATCACCTGTGTGCACTGACAGAAGTACTGAAGCCGGTGTTTCCATTCGGGAGCAATTGAGCTCTACAAACCTATTCAGTCGACTGAGGTCTAGGACCGGAAGCCATCTCCTGAACTCTTGTGAAAAAGAAAGATGTGGGAATAGAATCCTGGAACTGAATGGGGCTTCTCAACTAGGTGTATGACCCTTTTCTCCAGAAGGCTGGCCACTGCCAGATCGTCCCGCCTTGACCTCGTCCCTCAGCAGAAGACCAGAGGGAGGATGAGGAGGAGGAGAAGGAGGAGACCGAAGAGCAATCTGATACCCTCCAGACACTACTGTGAGCGCCCAGAGATCGAAAACTCTCCTGCGCTAATCTTGAATGTGCTGCATAAGGCACGATCCCACGGGAAGGAGCGGATGGGGGTTCAGAGCCAGAGTTCCTCGAACTCCAGCCTCCAGCACAGAAGGATAAAGATGGGGAGACTGGGCCTGAGGAATCCGGAGGGGGGAATCTAGAGTTGTTCCACCATCCATGCCCAGGCAGCCGGCAACACCTTCAAAGAGACTGCATGGCTCCCTGTCCCCAGAGGCGCCAGAATGCCCACCACCAAAGCCACGTCTCTTCGGCTTTTTCTTACGTTTCTCACTACTAGTCCGTTAATCGGCCACAAAAAAGCCAGTCACGCCCCAAGGCCTTCTCCACATGCATTCAAACTCGTCTCCCGCTAGGGTACAATAGGCGCACTGACTAAGAACTGCCTCCCGCTCGACCAAACCGCTCCTGCCAAGAGTGCAGTATGGAGTTCCATGATATTGCACATAGCAACTTTCTGCGCAGCCAGAAACTGTCCCATCTGCCCAAGGATTGTGGTTCGTTGCTGAGCACTTTGTCAGACGGTCAGAACTTAACAGTGTAGGCTGCCGCTCTAATGCCAAAGTACTCATTCTAAAAAATATACGGGTTTTAGCTCTGCCTGTAAAGCCTGATGCACCTGCAGGCTCTGGTGATGGTCAAATGAGCATGCAACATGGCCTTCCTGATCTGCGCAGCCCACCATAACAAAGGTGAGAGTACCAAAATCAGGATGGGGAACCCATAGAGAAGGCAGGAGAAGGTAAAGCATGGGTATCCCACACCAGGGACCTGTTGACGGTTTGCATAGCCCCGATTGCATATCAGTTCCCCCAACGGAAGGCATATGACAGGACCGATTCAAATCTAGGATCAGTATTTTTGTTCTTTTCTCCTGAAGGGTACCAATCACTCCCATCCATTGCTCT